ATTATAACATTTTATTTTATTATTTGTAACAAATCCTGAAGCTCAAACAGCGAAAGTGTAGCGCTACACTTTCGCTGTTTGAGCTTCAGGACTTGGCAACGCCAAGATCATGGGTTCGATTCCCATCAACGCAGTGTAAATTTCTTTGGATAAAAGCATCTGCCAGATTTATAAATGTGAATAAACACCCTCAGAGAGCAGCTGAGAAACTGACATAAGAGAATAACAATAATAATCAAAATTGTTTTGTTTCTGTGTAGCTGACATTAATCATGAAATGTGTTGAATTGACCCGCAAACATTATAATCCTAATACGATGTTTGTATTCATCAGATCATCTGAACTTTGCATGCATGTTCATGATCCTAAATGAGATTTCAAAAAAAGTCACAAAATACCAAGAAAAAATATCAGGTTTTTCCACAACTCAAAAATCAATTAGTCAAAGTGCAACAAAATTCAAGACTTAAATCAAGATTATTCTCTGGAGATTCACAATGACTGAAGATAAGAGAACCTGATCAAAATGAAGTGAATTTATGATTAAACCAGAACACATATTTGACAATAGACTTAATTTAAAGGGAAAACACTTATTTTTCTGACCCCGTTGACTGATATTTGAACTTGTTTTAATGATAAACTCACTTCAGTTTGATGCATTTTTCAGAAAACAAGAAGTATAATCTACAGTCATTGTGACGCTCCAGTAAATGTCTCTTGATTTAAGGATGTTCAGATGTCTGCGCTGGAAAACCAGACAAACATAGTGAGTTAAGAGCATGAGTTTCTGCAGCATGAGGGTGTTTCGGTGTGTTGGTGGTAAATTGAGGAGGTCTGACCTCACCCTTCACCCTCATCTCGACCTCCAGCAGCCTCTCGCACCCCGAGGGAAGAAAGACAATAGTTTACTGAGGAACACGAGCTGATGACTGGAGGTCAGAGCAGTCTGGAGAATGATGAACGCGCTGTACTTTAGTCTGTTCAGAGGAAGAATTCTTTCAACTTAAGATCACTTCTGTGGTGTGTTTATGTGGAAAACTCATGGGGAAACAAATTTAAATAATTTTACATATATTTCAAAATAAATGAAAAAAAAGGACAAAAATATATAGTTGCTAAAATATGTTTAAAAATACATTTATGTAAATATGTTTTCTACCAATACTTTTTGTATGTTTTTGAGAATTTATTTTAAAAATATAAATATATTTTTTAAAGAATTTAAAAAAAATTTTTTTGAGCGCCATATATTTCAATTCAAGAAAATACATTCATGTCACATTTGTTTTTGTTTTTTTTTTTTGTTTTTTTGTCTATAACACGTGTTATGTTCTTGCCCCTGAAATACATTTTAAAATATATTTTGGTATATGAAGGTTGAAACTAAATATATTTTCAATTTCCAAAATATATTTCATTGAGCTTCACTCTTTACAACTTATATTTAGAATGTATTTAAAATATATTTTGGCCCAAAAAGTATATATGTGACCCTGGACCACAAAACCAGTCTTAAGTGTCAATTTTATGAAATTGAGATTTATGCATCATCTGAAAGCTGAAAAATAAGCTTTCCATTGATGTGTGGTTTGTTAGGATAGGACAATATTTGAAAATCTGGAATCTGAGGGTGCAAAAAAATCAAAATATGAAGAAAATTATCTTTAAATTTTTCCAAATGAAGCTCTTAGCGATGCATATTACTAATCAAAAATTAAGTTTTGATATATTTACAGTAGGAAACTTGCAAAATATCTTCATGGAACATGATCTTTACTTAATATCCTAATGATTTTTGACATAAAAGAGAAATTTATAATTTTGACCCATACAATGTATTGTTGGCTATTGCTACAAATATACCCCAGCGACTTAAGACTGCTTTTGTGCTC